GTTAACTTTATCGTTGTGTCCTATCACTAGCCTCTTCAGATAGTTCTAAAGTGCTGAAATTTGTAGCAACAGTGACAGTACTATTATCATTTCATAGCACCAGGAAAATCTCAGATTTCTCGTCAAATGCAAAATCAGACGTGCTTCTTTCTTCCGCATAGACTTAGATTCTTTTAAAGGAAACTCGTGGTTTATCCGATTTTCTCGTATGGTTACTGTAGCTCGAAAACTCTGTTCACCAAGACTTTTGAAAGATAAATGCTAGTAAAAAAGTTATCAAAATCTAAAGTGTAGCTTGAAAGATTCACAATATTCTGTGTTAGTTTCATCACAAACCGAGTACCAAGAGGAGTATCATTTCTCGCATCAGATCAGTAGTCACGTCCGCAGACATTTGAATGATAACCAGTTAGAAGCAAAATTTCGATAAAAACACGTATTTCGTTGGCAGTGGTCAAGAAATCGTGTTCGTTTTTTACATCATTTGCATATCACACAGTTTCTTTTACAATGAGATCATAGACTTCACTGGAATAAAACTGGTCAAAGCTGTGATGGAGTTTTATCTTTCAATGCAGTTTCCATCTGCTTGAATAAGTCACTTGCAATTGATTCACCCTGTGGTTTCCATTTTGTATATTGTGGTGATTTATTTTTTATCCAAGATGACTGGTGTCTTTTAGCTTTTTTTCTACTCTTTGTTAGGGAAACACTAGAGCTTGTTGACGGTTCAGGTTGGAAACTATCTTCAGTTATAACCTACAGAGACCCAGGAACATCTGTTGCAATAATCTCACCAGTACTTACCTCATTCTCATCCCCTTCATCTTCGTCAGTTAGTTCACTGGCATCTGGTGGTAACACAGCAATTTCAACTTCGCTCTCATCTGAATCTAAACTATTGAATAGTTCTAATGCTTCCTCTGACTTCAGAAACCTTTGCACTGACATACTCAGCAGGGTTAAAACACTAGAAATTTTGTTTTTACTCCTTTTTATAAAGAGGGAAAGAACGTGCCAATTGCATACTTATCGTCCCATTGTCCTATTTAGAGGACAGTTAAAAAACAATGCGCTAAAACTCACCTAATAAAATTAAAGCTTTCATTAACCACCAGGATGATAAGGAAAGAGTACTTTCACATACAAAATGCCCAGCCGAGTGTCCAGAGTAAACTGAAAACGAATTCTGCAACCGCAAAGAGACGAAACAAACCACGCCCACTAATGCGATGAATAATCAAAATGTCCAGAGGAAGTAGGAGGGGGCGAGACACATAACTCACGCTAGCATATGCTAATACATATCCCTACATATTCCAGCTGGCAAAATATTCGCACCAAGCAAATACTGATTTCTACGTGCTATTTTCCAGCTGTCCTTTAAATAGGACAGTGGGATAAAATGGGTTAAATTTGTAGTTAATAGTTTAAATATTTTTTTGAATATACTAATCTGACACTGATACTGACCATTAGATACACTTTCAAAAAGTATCAGTCACCTGCACCATTTTGAATTTAGCTCAAAACCTACCACTGCAAGTGTAAACGGCAGCTATATAACCATCGAAATAATTTTCAACCCGCTGATTTCTATAACACTCTAAACGATGACAAGAGACCAAGCCGCTTTGAATGAATGGAGTAAGTGAGTAGGATAATACTGATGCTTCACCAAAGTACTCTGATTCGGAGATCCAGTCTCTATGGAAAAGGAAAATGTCTGAGGGTATCTGCAATAAATGATGCTAAAAATATACTAAGATGCATAAATTTACGAAGATGTTATAATCACACTGCAGCGCATTCCAAATCTTGTGCAACATAAATAGGCAAGCTCTCAAGCTGGTATAACAAGCATAGAAAATTATATGAAATTCAACTGGTAAAAGGTAAGTATGAAACTTTATGGTCATATTAATAATCTACATTACAAAATCCAATCCAAGAGCAAAAGATACCAAGCAAAGAAATATACACACAAAAAAAATGCTTAATTAAAAATTATGCTTAAAATTCAAAATAAATCTCATACACAATATGAATGCGAAAATTGGAATTTGCACGCATGAATGATTTGTACTAAATATTTCCTCGAAAGACAGAGGAATATCTTATCAATTGGGTGTCAAAGCATCCTTGACCTCTAACATTCTACCAGCCATTCTGCACAAAATTTGTTTCAGGTTGTTTGGTCCTTTTATCATCAGGAATTTTTTACTACCAATTTTTTAAAACTGACTTTTCAGAATTTTAAACAATCTTTTCCTTAATAATGGACGATAAAGTATCAATTCTCTTATCTGCGCCTGCCACGTGATGCAACTCGGATACTACAGAAGCTCTGTTTTTCAGATTCATAGGGTTTTGGGAGTATTGCTTAAAATTGGTTGCATGACCTAAATTACAGACCTATATTTAAGATAGATATTTTTTATCCACTTACTCTGACACTGTGAAGATTTATATGAGTCAGGAAACTTCAAACACCTCGGTAAGAGTTTACACTCTGCATAAGAGGAGTGCAGAGGAATGGGAGAAACGCTGGCAGTTATGACATTGTGAGGCACGGCAGGTAACTTTAAGCAGGTAACTTTCTACAGAGACATGAAAACACAATATATTTTCAACATCATGGATTCTTTCCATTTCATGTTCGTTAAGCAACTAAATCTGGAAACATGTGTTCTGAATTTATACTTTAACAAGTGGGCTATGGCCAAAACAATATTCTTAAGTTCTATGTACTGAAAAACGGAAAATAAAATGAAATATTAATTTAATGTACTCTGTAGAAAGTTGATAGCTGCGACCAAAGCAAAATTTATGAGTTCTATGTACACCTGAAAAGAAAAGTGCATAAAAATATTTCAGTGTGAATGAAATCAGTTAATTCTTTCCAACCAATTCATAAATAATTTTTTGTTGCCAAACGAGGAAACAAAAACTTCAGGTTAACACATATGACATCATGATTTAAATTTAATGTAATATAACAACTTTTTCTCAATATCAATAAAAGAATTAAGTGGCAATAACATATCATGTCAATTATACTAAACTGACACAAAAAAGTTGCCAACAGCAGCTATTTATTTAAAATGCTGACATAATTGAAAAATATTCGACATAAAGTATGTCACATGCAAATCGCATGCTTTCTTTCAAAGTCAGAATATGGCCTTAGATAATAATAATATGTTTAATGTTTGGTAATGCTATTTTTATTTCATATTTTGTAAAACTTAAAACTTTTTTAAGGAATTCTATGATTTGAAAGCAAGCAGTCGCAACACCTTTCGAAATAAAGCAGATTTTAATCTTATCTCCAGTATGCGAGACTGTTGCCCCTCCAAAAAATACTCTCTCGAAACTCAACTCCCCGCCGTTCCGGAGGAGATAATGCCACAAACAAACCAGCAAACAAACAAATGTTCAACAGATTTTAATAGTATAGATTACGTTAAAACCTTCCTGAATTAATTTGGTTTTGATATCATTAAAAGGGGCAATCTTCTCAAAACAACTTTAGCTGATTTTTTCTGGCATGTGCAACATAATGTTGAACACCATTCGCTTCTAAGTACCATATAATTTTCTGTGACCATCAGAGTCAAATAGGAAAATTTTTAAAGAAATTCATTTTTGATTCTGTCTTTAAAAATAGCATTAAACTCATCTTTAAGTGTCTTGTATGATTTCAGCGGTGGTATCGCCATAATCTATGTAATGCTGGGTACTCAATTTGAGATTTTATTGGAATTCCTGTAATATTCTCAGTAATTTTGTAAAACTGGTGGATAGTAATATGCTTGAATCCATATTTTTAGATGAACATCTTAAATTCCCACTAAAGAATTAAAAGGTACACACAACAACCACCACTATGGTGATGCAATGTGCTACCGAAGAGAAGAGGTAAGAAAATTCTTTTCCTTAATTGATGAATAAATATTTACAACAGTTACCACATCCGAAGGGGTTATGATGCAACATCTCCGGATTTGTTTGGAATCGTTTTCATATTCAAGAAATTACTAATAATCAATATCAAAGAAAAGAGCAAAGCTTCATTGCATCTGAGAACAAGGTCTGTAAAGTGAAACCTTGGTCTGAGCATGCAATCACTGTCTGATTTCTTCTTTCAGCCCCAGAAACATGAATATCATCAAAAATTATTTTATGATAAAGTTATAAACACTTTGGTATCAGCATTTAAATGAACCTCCTCAAATAAATCAAAATGCTGGTGTCTTTAAGGATTACCTAATTAGCATATATTTGAACAGTCAATCATAACTGACTGTAACGTATGATATTTGCATTAGCAAATCTAAAAATTGGTTTCCTCTAAAATGGTATTTCTAAAAATTAGCATTCTCCTTGATATCTATCAGCTAGCTATAGCAGCAGTTCTCAGTATGCATAAAAAATATAAGAACAGGCTGCCCTTTGAAGAAGGCATGAAAAATTGCATAAGCATAAAGAAATGAAACTATTTCACTGAATACCTAATGAAATGTTTATTATTTTCCCAACATAATACCAATATTATAAATTAATGAGAACTTCAAAGGAATAAAATATTTTAAATTTTATTTTTTTCTATAGTTACATGTTTTTATTAAATTTGATTTAAAACCTGAATGTTAGAAACCTAAACACTCAAATTCAATCAAATGAATGTGGAAAGTTATGTTCCCATAATTAACAAAATTAAGTGAATTTAGAAGAGCAATCTAACGCTTTTCAATTACTAAATTTATTAATTACAAATTCATTCCGAAATATAGGATTACTTCATAATTATAGTATATAACTGCATTTTAGTATTTCAATAATTCAAAAATTAAAAAATTTATTTTATATATATCATTTTAAAATTTCAGAAAACTAAAATTGTTGTGTAATGTGTAAAAATACATATCAGTATTGCTATTGTTTCATAGATGTGAAATTAAATGCAGACATTCAAAACAAAGGAATACACAGAGACATTTGAAGAGTAAATTATTCATGTTCATTTTGTCCTATAATGAATGTACAAGGGAAAAAAATTAGCTCTTAAAACACATTAATACACATATTGCATGCCCAAAGGGCCTATATACCTCAGATCATTTTACATAGTTAGATCATCCAGAAAGGGCACTGTTTGTCAGATCTTCAAATATTGCCTAAGAGATTCAAGTATCAAACAAGTAAAATACCCTTTTTAAACAAAGTACATAATCTCACAAATGTTAATGCCAAAAGGGCTCAAATCAACGTGCATAATACTGCTGGTGATACCCTTTTTGACATTTTAGCTTCAGGCATTTTATCATTATTCTATCCATAAAAACCATATTGAAAAATTTATTCTCAAAAATGTACAACATAGAGTGTAACAATGTAACAAATGAATAATGAGATGAAAAAGACCTGCTGCTGGTTGACAGCATTCAACTACATCTTTAGAGTTTTTAGAATTGCAATCTACTCAACACTGTATAAACTGATTCATATCAACCTAATTCTCAATGACGCAGTCATCACAAACATTCAACTTTGGTTTTAAAGTATAACCTATCTATTAGCATAAATATGGCGAACATGAGAATAATGTCTCTTATAATGGCAGTGCAACATGTCTGCAGCAGGAATCAAATACACTGTGACTGGGAGAGCACCATCTTTATTCTCCACAAATAATCTAAATGTAAAGAGCAACTGTAGAAAAAGATAAAAATTAACGTGACATATTTGCACCAAACTTCATCTGCCAATGACAAATGTCATTGCATAACAATCCTCAACTATGGCACCTTCAGGCATTAGCCAAATGAAACATTTGATGGACGCATCAGACTAATGCGTGCATCTATTTAATGCCTTCAGAAATTGCCAGAGAGCAAAAATCGTTTTTAATACGCAAGAAACAATTTTGATAAAAAAAAAAAAATCCAGAAACCTGAAAGTAACATTACATGTCATTTGCAATGAAAGCAACTTGCAATTAATTACTCTCACTGACTTCTAAGCCAAAGGGTAAGAAACATTAATATTTGCAGATCAAAGTTCTTGTGCTACATAATAGTGAAAATCTGACGAGTGTCTGAAAGAACTAAAAGATGAATAAGCTAGATATAAAAATTGTAAAATAACTTACACGAAAAACTAAGCTTACAAATAATTACACAGGATATTTTACATAAAATATAAATTCATACATAATATTCATTACAGACTGAGCATAACACATATAATCCACATGATTTATAAAATGGAAAATTAATGAGAGAAACCCAATGGCTTAGCTACATTTCACTGAAATAAATAAATAACAAGAGTTAAAACAAAAGTCATACATCCTTAAATTAATAACTATGCAAAATTTCATAAAACACGATTTCTTACTCAAAATGAATAAGAATATTGAAGTAATTACAATTCGATGTTGGCTTGGAAACTCTGCTAACTGTAGTGTAGAAGTTCAGTTTTCTCGAACTTGCAATGTAGCATTTTCATTCACTATTTGTCACTAAATTAATGAATTACAAGTGGTGGGCATCCAATACACTATTACCTAAAAGGAAATAGCTGCCTCTTTCTTTCTTCTGCTCCTTTTGAGAGCTCATATGTGAGCCTTTGAGAGCTTACAATTTTACCTTAATTCATATAAATATAATAGCTCAGTCACAGCCAATTAATAGAATTCATAGATCTATGTGGCATGCATAACAGCCACTGGTCATAAAAGAAAATTAAGTAATGCATAATTTAAAAATTCTGGACACAGCAGATGAAATGATTAACATGATCTTATCAGTTTTACACTTCAATTATTTGGTGAATAAAACTTAAACTTATATAACAAATCTCTTAAAGGTTTACACAGAATAACTATATAAAAATTTAATTTTAATGAAACCGTAAGTAACTTAACATTAGTAGAAGAATTAAAAATATGATGTAACGTCCATTAAAATGTGTTAATGTCAAGTAAAACAGTAGATTCATTCTTAAAATCTTTGCAAATGGCTATTAATGTTTCATGCACATGTTAGTAAGATGTGAAAAGTAATTTATAAATTAACAGTTTTTGCAATAAAAATGAAACTGGCTACCAGTGGTATTCACAGATATCTGTTTAACAGGAGAATGTACGACTGAATATTCTTGAAGGGGCAAGATATGGTATGAAACTTTAACAAATTAAAAAAACAATTCTATCACAGTATGCACAAGAAAGTACACACGATGAAGAACATTAAGTTAAAAAATCATTGAAGACACATTCCACGAAAATCAAACATAAAATTAATTAATGAACAAAAAATTGATAAAAATGATAAAGTCAGGTATCTAATGAAGCCAATGAAAAATAGCTGCTAAAGAAATATTTGCTTAGGAACTTGCAAAAGCACAGCAGTAACTGTGATGTTTGAATATTTGCTCATGTACCAGAAGAATGACAAAATGCACATCTTTGGTTTTGCATGTTGAACAGATGAATCAAATTCCAAATTAAGTGGATAGAGTATTCTGGAGCCTTGAATTCTTTGTAGATAACAAGGGAATAAGCTAAACAAGCTTCTTCAGTAAAGACCCAAATGGATATTTTTTTGGTAGGGAGCTACAATTTATGACCAGGGGCACTGAAGCATATGATACATGATGTTCAAGTATCAGGAGTTCAGTAAATTTGAAATCTCATGTTGAATGTCTTTCAGTTCTTGAATCTTTTGAGCCAATCTTTGATTTAGTTGTTCTAAGGCGCCTTTTTTGGCCTTGTTACTTGACTTTGTAGTGTCAAGCTGTTCCTGCAGCCGACTGACGCTACTGCGCAAACCTTCATTGTCTGCCAGAAGGACCTAAAATTAGACTTTTATTAATATGGGGTATTTTAAAATATTCATATGCTCAGAATTTTAAGGCAAGTTAGTCATAAAATTTAAAACAACTAATCCTACAAGAAGTTTTTTAAATCCACATTTTCCCCTTGAATTATGTATGAAAACCTTCATTTCTCAAATGCTACTTATAACAGAAAGGTTTTTTTAACCTAGGCAAATTTTATATCATTTAAACATATTAGCAGTTTGTACACAGTATCTTTTTGTTAGGTTGTAAAAATTTAAGTCATTATTGAAGAAAATTACCAGTTTTCAATTTCAGTGCATGCATATTAACATACAATATTAAAAACTAAAAGAGAAATCAGATGTGGCTGACAATAAATAATGCACAGAAAAAAAAAAAAAAAAAAAAAGCATAATTCAAATTTCAGATGATAAAAGGTATAACTTAACTTCAAAAATCATAAAGAACAGTTTTCACTTCAAAGAAACAACATAATCACATTTCACCTCTACATCTAATTAACTTATTCATAAAGAATTTCGAGGGAAAATACATATGTACACACCTTAAGCACTGAGTTTTGTCAGCAGTATAAACAGTAGAGATATTTCAAATTTTAGACATTATGGATCCCTAATTTAATCTGGTCTTCAGCTATTTGGGCATGTAACTCACTCATAATGTGTGAATACAGATTTCAGTACCGGGTGATGGAAAAAGTGGTCATTCTAATTCCGATATGATGCACATAATACATTACAAAGTCCGAGATCCGGACTCGTTGGGACTTCAGCGATTCCGGGGATTTGTCTGGATATTAGATCATCAGTTTAAATATAGTAAGATGGCATGCAGAAATTATAAAATTAAAAATATGAAATCATAATTTATGAAATAATGAGCATTTATGATCTAAAGGGTATCAAAATTTATAAAAAATATAGCTTGATATTCAATTGTTGTCTTTATTCAACATTTCTTTCAATGTAAGTTGTTTAAGTTGCTTTGGTTTTAATACTTTCTCTTTGATTCTGTAGACAGACATAATTTTTTGTTCAGTTACATAGTTGAAATCCAGTAATTGCTGTGTTGATAATTCCGACTAACTTGTCAGACAAAATTTTTTCGTTTTCAGTAACCTCTCTGTCACTTTCTTCACTATCGGTACCGGTATTTTCTGGATCTAGAACCATACTACATATTTTGCCATTCATTGATTGATTGTTGATTGAGGAGCATTATCATCACAACGAAAATTTTCTTTTATATCACCTTCATTTATTACCGCTTCTCTACATTTCTTTACAAAATCCGTTAATTAGAAAAAATCACCTTTGGTTTGCAATATCCAAAAATCTTTAAAATTTGTGACTATCATCAGAAAATTTAGCTATAGATTGGAGACTAAAGTTGTTCCTCTAAATTTTATGTTGCTTCTATCATGCACCGAGACAGTTAAGCCTGAACTGTATTACTTATTTATTATACTTATATCTATTTCTTGCACATGCTTAAGGCTTGTCTGAGTCCTGAATAAATAAATTCCCACATATACCTAAAGCTTATTGAGGACTGGTGCTAGATATCTTACTCTAGTCTCTGGGGGTCCTAAATTATGCTAGCAAGAACCTTCCCGAAATTCTGCCACCTGGTTTGGCCATACGAGCCCTGGCCCTGGTTCTGGGTTTATGTGAATAACAAATCAGTTATTCTTAATTCAAATAGCATTAAATGTAATCTTTTGGCCATTAAGAAAATCTATTTTTAGCATATAGAAAGAAAATTTTGTTAAATTTTTCCTTGTCAATATTTCTCAGCACATTTATCTTAAAGCTGCAATCAACGCCAAGCGTAATGTCAACATAAATGGTTAACACACTCTTTATTATTCAATTACTAACATAAAAAAATTGTTTGGCCATCACTACATGAGTCATTACTCAAGTTGTCATGTGTTGATAAACATGGGGGGATGAAAACAAAATGTAATAAATAATGATTAGCCAACTTGGCATCAGGGATATACAATATTAGTGTGTGTAAAATCAATGACATTATCTATGTAAAATGTTTTGGTTTGAGATATATTATGTCAAGCAGATACTCAGAAATGGAGAGCCTAATTATTGATCATACAAATTTATGCTAAAATGATTGTTTCTTCAATAACGAGGTATTTTATTTAGTGCCGAAGTGAAATTAAGAATCCTGACTCTCCACGTGTTTTCTTATATGCAGGGGAAAACCGAATGCGCATGCATAAAGCATACCTCCCCCCCAAAAAATGTTGCCATTTTTGAGGTCCGGATTTTAGATCACTCTGGATATTGGACGTCTGGATCATGGACTTTGTACTGTATACTAAAAATATTACAATAGTATAATATTTAAATATTATAATTAAAATTTTGTACATGAGATACTAAAATATTATGTATTGCTTCCTAGGCATTGGCTGCAGCAAAGAATTTTTCTCATGACCAGAAAACCTACAGCTGAAGTAAAAATGTCTTTTCAAGATGAAAATCATGATCATAAAAATGTATTGCTACTAATTAAGATAAACTGGCAAATTTGACTTATCTTGTTAACAAACTACTATATACCAGTATTTAAATATGATAGCATATCTTCAGAGTATTTTTATGCATCAGCTAGCGAAGCCATTTATCTATAGTCATATCTTCACTTTAAAGTTACAAAAAGACATTTTAGAATGTAGAAAGAATTAAAACAATTACCAAAACACATTTTCAAAATGATTAACTGTAGGAAAAAACAGCTTATAAACAAGGCTATATTATTTTTTAAAGTAATATGAGACTGTCAGGAGGAGGGAGTTTCTAATTAAAGAAATATTTATTCACTTTAATTTTACACTTTTCATTTCTCAGGAAAATTTATTTAAAAAATTGCATCATTCAACAGAATTTATAGAAGTCAATTTATTAGTTCCTTGTACTTAGAAACGATTTCTATAGCTTCTTGTTATTTATTTATTATTATTTTTTTTGTATAAGTTGACAGCTAACCTTGAAATCTGTCATGAGCAACTAAGGCTAATAATACATTGCAATGATTACCAAAAAGTCTATGATTATTTTGGGGGTAGAAAATATAAAAGCAAATAAGATTTCAATTCTACTCAAACTAAGCAGATAATGGGATTTAGAACTAAAATCCTAAAAGTCTTCTATACTTTTTTACCAAACTTAGATGAAATTGAATTTTGCCCTAATGCCCCTCGCCAAAAATTACACCTACTTTATTGTACAGCAAGACATGGCTTTTGTCATGAGCATTTGTTAAAAATATCTGCTGTTCCCCCTGCTCAATTAATCAGCCTCACTTAAATTGCAATCTTTGAATAAGTCTAGTTGAGAGTCCATTGAAAACCTGAGTAGATAAAATATCAACCAAAAACATGGAATTCCTAAAGCAATACAATTTTCAGCTAAGTATAATAAAAATGATCGGTCAAATTTAATAAATTATGGTCTAAAAACTATTCACAGCCAGAAGAATTAATTTTGATGAGATCTGCAACATTTTCAGCACAGGAACTTAACAGTTGATAAGACAAAACAGCAGTTCCTACTAGGTAGATATGCCTCTCTAAGTAGTAGAATATCAACTCCCACTAAAGTTAAAACCTGTATAATAGTAAATAACAGAGTTAGCAAATATGAAATTTTCTCTGTTTTATATTTTTTGACTAGCATTTAATTTTGAAGTTCGTGTGTGGAACAGTTCTTGATTTTTTTTTCAAATGCCAGAGCTTATTGAATTGTAGGTAAGTCACCGAGTTAGTATAAGTAATCAATCTGTTGAATTTTGATATATTTACTTGAAATATTTTTCAAGTACTAATCACTGGGATTTTGAAACCTGAGTGACTCACATCATTTGCATGAATTATGATGTATTTATAATTGAATAAAATGCAAAATTTTATGATTTTTGCACAGTTTTATGAATTTCTTACAGTCATCTCATTACATATATCTGGCTTTGAAACTTCAAATGAAATTTGCAGTGATCAAAGAATTAATCTATTCAGTTCGCTAACATAATATTTAAAGATAATGCAGTAACATAAAAAAAATTCATCATTACTTAATATAATGTAATGCTTATATTTAGATGGACTAGTAGGGTGAATATACATGTTGACAGTACTTCTGTGTCTTAGGTGCTAAAGCTCTATTTGTGTGTGCTTTGCTAGTGTTTCTGCAGGATTAGATTTTATGAGCAATGGCTGGACAGAATAATAAAAACAACACTAGGTACAGTCAAAAGTCTTTAATCCGGATGTCCATAATCTGGAATGATCTATAATCCGGACCTCAAAGCTACAAACTTTTCTGCGCATCCATTAACGCATGCACATAATACGTTTACGCATGTGCATTTAATGATTAACGGACGGTATAAGCTAAGCAAAAATTATCTAATTATCTATTTCAGTTAATGTTGCAAATTGTGTTGTTCCTTAATCTTCTAACTGGATCCAGCTTATTATTTTTTGCAGACTGTTAGAGCAATTTTATAAAAGTAAGCTTGAACTTTCGATTATATCAAAAAGAATTTCCGATTCTGGAGCTACCAAAGGATCTACAAAGCGAAAGCATGTTTCAGTGTCCATCAAACAAAAAGTGGAATTGCTGCAAAAAATGGATAAAGGCATATCCTTTGATTCTCTAATCATTCCAAAATATGCTTATGAATTTCACGCTGCTCTGCAGCAGGGGGGGGACGACGCGGTGCGCAATGAACTGGAAGTTGATCTGTCAGCACTATCCTTATCTTCAGGGCAGATGTTTTTATTTTATTCGGCTTAGAATTCCTTACTAAATGTAGTATTTCATCTCGATGTACTCTTCATCAGTCTTTTATCTCTGTCTTTGATCATCGTCTTAAATCAAATTCCTCATCATTATAAATATCTCGAATACACATCAAATAGATTTTTGGTTGCAATTTTCTAATTTCAACTATGCGCAATGTATGC